TTTCTTGACCCACAGCCATCTCTCAAAACCTCAGAAGTAGCCCAAGGACCAGCAACTTGCCAGGTGCTCGTGTGCCACTTCAATCCGTAGACATAGCCAACTCGTAACAAGGATGCCAACGTGCGCCTCTGCAGTTTTGGCTGCGCACAGCACAGGAGGTCACCAAACTGGGTAACCACCTCGAGAACGACCTGCAGGGAAATGCGGTGTCGTACTTCTTTTCAGTGTTTGCCGTGCAATGATGATAGATCTTTAGGGTTCAAAAACGCTAAACACCTCGCGGTCATCTTTGGACACCGGAAAGTCTTTTGTTGTCACTTTTGTGCAACTGAATTATGGGAAACGGCTAAACCAAATTAACAAATTAGCAACTGCAGCGAAAATGCGGAATGGGGTGCGCGGCATACCAGTAATAAAGTTGGTCGTGCCATCTGAGTATTGTTGACTGCGGCTCGTAGACTACACTAAGTCATAGAACCCCAAGCACTGCAAGCCGATACCGTATGTTCAGAATTGGACGCATCTTGCTGAATTCATGTCAAACCGGCGAAGGCATTTAGACTGGAAGTGGTGGCCAGTTCCAGAATCAAGAAGGGGTGGGGTGGTACGGTGGTACTTACAAAAAAGGCAAACAGTGGCGTGGGCGGCACAGCTGAATTCCAATGACACACGACGCCTGGCGGTGAAAGGCGCCGCGGTTGATGAGCTTCCTGAGCGCGCGGAGTCAGGGCCAAGGAGTCTGCAAACTCAGATGCCCAGTGGATTTCCATGGGAAAAAAGGGCATCCTTTTTTGTTGGTTGAGTTTAAAAGGGAACCCTTACCCCAAAAAAGGAGAAAGAAAACACCACTAGGCAACAGAGCAACACACTCCCAAAGCAGAGCGAGGTCCAGCCAATCTACACGGTCCAGAAACACTCAACTGTATCAAAGACATTACAATCCGCTTTGACCCTCAAAAAGAAAAATGTCAGTGCGTTGCTGTGCGGCCCGTGCCGTGCTCAAGAACTAGCGGAAAGGTTCGGTGACAGAAGACAACACATGCCTCATTTGTGACTCTCGCTGGCATGTTGAATTGTGTGTGTGTGCAATGCCTTCTAGTCCAAGGCTATCAATTTCCCGTATGCTTGTCTTGTAGTCCAACAAATTGGTTTCTGTAATTCCAAATGTATTCGACTGCTTATACTTTTCCCACTATCCCAGACTTCGCTTGGTCATCCTCAGGTGTATATATATATATATAATATATATACACGTACTGTCGCACGACTTTCTTGTGGAAAGCCATGGTTCTCCAGCCAAACACATACAGACTCACAATCAATCCAGCATGGTCAAGGCAAACCACCAGAGGCTGGACATGCCTCTTGGCATTTGACTCCAACAAAATATTGTGGGTGTTTCACGGATCCCAGGTGCCATGGATGTTGCAACCATGGTCACCTGGCAGATGACGAGTCGCTTGGCTTCTTCCCGGCATAGCCGAGCCATGGCGCATCATAAGCGAAAGGACTTGGAACACGAGGGGTCACTAGCAACTTACTGGTGGGCGCCATTGAAACGATCGCCACTTTTGCAGGCCACAAGAAAACTGGAGACACCTCAGTCTGCGAAACCCCTGTGGTCGGAATGACTCTTCGAGCTATGGCAAGAACTGGAATTGGTTTGAAGACTTTGCAGGGCGCAGTCTCACTAGGCAAGAAGTTGGGAAGCGAATTCGGTCCGTCTGAAGTCTGAGGTCTGGAAGATCGAACGAAGGTTTGCTCCGGCTACAGAACTCCTTGAAGCAGAACGGCCTGTGCTTCTCGGCTGCCTTTCTAGGCGTGCTTGTCAAACTCAGGGACCCTTAAAAATGGGTGGTGTCTTAAAATGAACATTCCGAAAGCCTGCTGAACCACTTCATGGTACTGCCTCACACACTCAACAAGAGAAGCCACGTAGCTTTTGCGGAAAGGACAAGAAAGGGCGCAACAAAGGGCAGCTGTCGAACGCACGCGAATCTCTCGCACTCAAGAAAGCAGTCAAAATCAGGGATGGGCCAGGCCACTCTTACATTTCTTCACCCTTTGCTTTTGCAGCTTCTCCCTTTGAACGATGTCTGTTGTGAATGGAGACTCTGTGAGTACAGAAATATTTCCCAAAACTGCTTAAAAAATGTCTTTGTCTGAACATGTTCTGCTCAACATGCTCGCTGAACATGCTCTGTTGAGCATGCTCTGTTGAACATGTTCTACTCAACATGCTCTTGAGATCTCTTGAGAGAGCATGCCAACAGCAGGCCATAGCATAAACATCCCTGGCTGGTGGAGCTCGCATCCGTGGTTCAGCAAGCCCTGCTGAAGCCACGTGCGTAGCTGCGCTAGCGGCAAGACTGATTTCGCTCCGGGTGTTTTATTTTCCTCTTCAAGAGTAAAAAGTGTGCAAAGGTAAGTCTCGGGCAAAGCTGACCAGGATAAGGACCAGATTGTCCACGGCCAGTCTATGATGGCACTCAGTGCATGGAAAATACGCTCAGGACAAGGTCCAGTCCGCAATTTGGCAGCTATGTTCACGGGTATAGCGCCCGAACAATTGGCCTTAAGAACACGGAGGCCGTAGCTCCCAGCTCCAAATGCGGAGGTCTCAATCATGAGGAGTGACCAGACCCCTCTTATCGTCTCTGCCATCTTTGACTTGAGCCATTGAGTCTTGATTGTCAATGAACAGTTTGTGGGATTTGTGTGATAATCTCCACTGCGACGAGCCATAGATGTCCGGTTTTCAGTTTAGGACAAATCCAAGGAGGGCCTTTGGCCTTTGGCCCGAGACGTGGCGGGCGGTGATTCACCGGGCAAAAGCTGGAGCTGACGGGTTTGTCAGCGTGCCCCTGCCGAATTGCAAGTACTGAGCAACCCCCGGCATCCTACCTTAGATTGACCAACAACATGGCCTCTATATAAGAATCAACATACATCAGAGCCTTGACTGAATTTCACTGGCTGCTAAATCTTGTCTTGGATCTTATACTAAGGATCATGCCAGTCGGGGGGAGGTCTCACCAGCTCTCAAATCGCATCTCAAACGCCGGCGGGTCGCTTGGGCCTAAAACGATGAGCTCTGCTTGGGAACTGATGATGTCAAGGCCTTGTGCAAGTTGGTAGGAGTGCAGTAGGATTCTCTTCCGAAAAGCAGTATACAACCACACTGGCCTGCCGTTGCTTGCTTGTCGCTGGGTTGAGAACGCGGCATTTGAAGAATTGACGTGGCCCCTCAACAGCTCTCCCACAGAAATCACTGAAAACAGAGCTCTCAGCATCCCTAGTCTGGCAAACTCATCTGCTTCACCTGCATTGGGACATCGACCAGTAGCGCTGCTGCAGGTCGTGAGGGCACTCGATGCGGCTGAAGACAAAGTTGAGGTTGGGGATGGACTGCCGGGAAGGCCAGCCAGCTGTGTGCTTTAAGAGTTGTTCTTGCAAGCTCAACAAACCTGGTTGGTATCCTTCCGGGCTAAACCCGTTTCAACCCCACCCCAACTCCCTGAAAACCGCCGCACCCGTCTTCAAACCCATTAAACACTTGTCCTCAGGTCTCCAAAGGCTCGTTTGTTTTTTTTTTTTATAACAGCGGGCATGGTGGTGCGGGATGCTCTTGGGATAGTGCGAGAAGTCCAGGTGGTTGAAGGAGCCGTAGGCGTTCCGTTGTCCCCGTCTGGGTGGGCACCAGTCCTTTCGATGCGAAACCAAAGTTGGAAGACAAAAGCTGGCCATGTGAAAGCAGTCCGTGCTCTTCTTTTTTGGAGTCACTGTTCCTTCACGGCTCAGGGAGAAAAGGCAACGCGACAACGCTGGAACAACAAAGGGGTCATTCGAGTTGTGCTCAAAACACCTCTGAGATTGAACCGCACTTCAGCCCGCAGCACTGTGTGCAGTCACCTGCATGATTGCAAGCAGGCAAATGATATTGTCTTTCCAGTGCTATCTCTACGCCTCCTCAGAGTGTTCAACTAAAAATGTGTTTACCCTTGTAATGAGTGGCAACGGCTGAGATGGCACTTTGGGCCAAAACCTGATGGACACGAAAGGAAGTAGCCCAAGTGTGAGACTGGCAACTTGGAGACTGCGAGTGGTCCTCTGCATTGGATGGAGCCATCCTATGGGCATCTCCCAATCTGGACAGCTGGCGATCTTAAAACGCTGAGCCAACCATGGAACCATCCCCAAATTCAGGCAAACACATTCTTGCTTGCAACGCCCAAAGTTGATGAAATGTTGAACACTTCCATGTAACGCAATGCATGATACATGCATTCCGGCCATTCGCACAAACCTCGGGATGGTTTTTTGAAAGAAGGCCCATGGAAGCATAAACAAGAAATGAATGAGACCTGGCTAAAAAGGGATACCCTCAAAAAGAGACAGGCCCATAGACCACAGGCCCACGTTTCCAAAAGCGCCAAGGTGCCTCATTCCCTGCGCTGGGGCAGAGATCCCCAACCACGACGATGAGTTCCTCCGATGCGAAGACATCTGTCTCATCCGCCTGCATCGGCTTGCCGTCGGGTTTGCTTAAACCTCAAAATGGTCTACTTGGAGAAGGAGAGAAGGGCACCACTGAATGAAGAAATGGACCACAGGAGCGCTAGTAAGCTTCATTCGGAACCCTTGCAGTCTCCCTGGACCTCCCTTGAAGCTGCCAATATTTTCTGCAGTCAGGCTCTCTGACTCAACCCGATTCGCGCTTCCACAAGAAATCAGGACACCTGCCGCCAAGAAAACACCTCTGTGCCAAAAATAGGACCCAAAATCTAAGGTCCCCGTCGTTCAATTTTGACCCATATACCCACGTGAGCCAGGTGTGCTATGATTCGCCGCGCAACCTGACGCGATGCGTCGATGGCCTTCATGCCCGTACGCAGCGTGTCCCGCTTGTTTTTTTCTTCTCACATGTAGCACACGACACACGATGTACACACGTTTTCAGCTTCAGCTCGAAGACAACTTTTCAGTACAAGCGTAGTACACGAAGTACAAACAACTACTCAGACATGTAGCCAGGACATTCGGGCATCTTGCACCCAGCCTTGCCGTTTGCGTTGCGCGTGCCTTAAGTGCGAGATGCAAACATTGCCCCTAGAGCTCTGTTGGCTTCTGTAAACTGCATGACTACGGAAAGCTAAGGGAATCTTCGCCAAAGCCAGCTGGAAAGAAAACAACCTGCTCTCCAATGTGTTCGACAACACGCCATCCCGATTAACCTTGTCTACTCAAAACATGACTGAACAATAAGCTATGATTGAAAACAGAAGCTTACACACGATGCAGCCTGTTTTCTCAGCAGCTGATTACGTCACTGAAGGTTTTGATTGTGCATCAGGTCAATACAAGTCAGATCACACAGCTACCACATCTTGCTTACTACATACAGCTTATACTTGTGGAGCGTGGAGCAAAGCCTCTGCCAAACATGTGGGCTGCCTTGTGAAGGTCTAGAACCCCGCTCCTTTTACAAAAAACAACGTTTTTGAAGGTTTCCAGGGCCCGCTTTCTAGAGTGCACTAAAATAATTATGGTTAAAAGCTTTCTGGAAACTCCACCTCGCACCTCGCCTGGTTAATTCCAGTTAGCTTCTTCGCGCCTCGGCTGAGCTCGTTATAATTTGCCCTAATGTGAGACAGCCCTCGTTAAACATGCACACCAAGGTTTTACAGTTTGCTCATCTAGTCCGTGTAAGTCTGACGGAATTTCTGGGCGAGTCACACAAGGATTCGTCAGGAAGTTTATATAAGCGGCTTTTCGACATTTCAACGCGCTGGAAGGAAACAATGTTTGCCGAAGAAGCTAGCGCATGCGAGCGTTTGAGCGAATTCGGCCCCACTTGTGGTCTCTGGGAATTGTGCCAACGTGCCTAGGTGAAATTCCCGCTGCGCATAGCAAGCACAGCTGCGTCACGGAAATGTGCCAAGGGTCTGGTAGCTGCTAGAATGTCCACAACAAATGGCACCGTCTCAAGGGTACCAGGCCCTAATGGGAAAAGATTACGAATGCTTCCCATAGCCACAATCAAAACTGCTTCTGCCTTCAAGTCAAAGACCAAAGACAGAAACCGTACACAAACGCGCACACAATGTTCGATGTGTTCTTTTTCGGGGACCCCCCTTTTGGTTGGTTTTCAGGGGAGGCAAGAAGGAAAACCATCATTTCGGGTTTCCCTAATTTGAAGACAAACCCATTCTATGGACCTCGATTCTTCCATGTCCAAAAGAACGAGTCACAGTCGCGGGATCAACAACAAACGATGCCAAGCTTGCTTGCTGTTCGGACCATCGGTTGAACAAACAAACACATTCCAACCATTCCGAAGAACCCAACATTTCTGGGCATTGTGGTTAGATTAAACTTGGTTTCTCGAACCTTTCAACCACTCAAAGAATCGGCACGTGAGCCTGACTCCTTAAGTTTGGCTTCTGCTGCCTATGGGGTTTGCGGTGCCTGGCTGCCGACCTTGTGGGTGCCTTGGGCGGTTCTGGCGCCTTGTCTATGTCGGAAACAAGAGTTCTTGGGCCGTGTCCTTGGCTCCTGCGCCTGGGACCTGCCTCGGTGTTTCCGGCGACTGCTGAGATTATCGGTTCAAGACCTCCCAATTTCAATGTAAATATTGGTCTATGCATGTGCTCTAATTCTTGAAGAACTGTTGAGTTCAGGTCATCTACTACCTGAATATGTAAACCTTTACCAAACCTAAGTACTATTAAACAGTTGTGTTTGTTGGTCTCTCGTTCCCCCCCCCCCCGGCTTTCTGTTGATTAATTAAAGATTGAAAACAAAGCATAACTCATGCATATAATTTTATATGCTTATTAATTAGTGCAAGACTCCTGTAGTTTGATTGCTTATTCGATCCAAAAAATATGCTGTACAGCAGATTTTTTAGCTACAATTATAACTTTATTAACACGATTCTACATGGTATCAACGTTGTGTGTAAATAAAAGTATATCTAAAAGAAGCCTTGCGGTCGGGTTTTGCCTGGGTTCAATTCGCACGGGCCGTGCTCGCCAAACCCTTCCTAAAGCCACCCTAAGCGCTGAGCTCACCTTAAACCGGCCTTGAACCAGCGCTAAACCAAACGGAAGCCAAACGTAAACCATGCCCAAGCCAGCCTTCAATCAATCAGAAACACAAACTCCTAGCCCAGCCCTTAACAAAACAAAACACCTTGCTCTTGTGTTTGGCTTAACTTTGCTGGCACGACCATTGTCCGACCATTGAACCATTTTCCGTGGTTGGCTTGAATGTGGGTAACAACATGTTACAAACATCCTGGAAGTTGCTCAACAAGAACGGCAAGCATTGAATTGAACTCAACATAGTGGCTGGCTTGGTTTGATTGAAGAAAGCCACAAAGCTTTCACCATTCGAATGAGCCCGAGATTGTGGATGGCCTGAAGCAAAAACAAATAAAAAAGTTCCAACAAGTCCACTGAATCCAAGAAAACATAGTGGTTCCGCAAGCTGGTGCCAAAGCCGTGCTCCATCGAGGAGCATTCGCAGGGCTGTCACAAATCATTCGCCAAAAGCAACACTTGTGCGTTGTTCATGACGGAGGTTTCGCGGGACAACCAAATGGTTTCCCCTTCACGGAATGATTGAAGTTCTCGAAACCAATCCCTTGCGCATGGTCAACTTGGAAGGCATGGCCACGATGAAAGCACGCCCCTTGTTGAAGCCCACTAGTGTTAAGTAGGCATGCGCGACTTTTGAAAGAAAACTGAAGTGCACAGGGCAACATAACAAAAGCATTCACCTCTGGCTTGTTCACAAGGTCGGCCTGCAGTCAATGCATCTCAATAGGCACAACACCACACCAGCATCCATCACGAGGAACGGACATCTCCCTGCGAGAACAAAATCGCACGGTTCATTTCTGGTAGCCCTGCCCGGCTCGCACGCCTTGTCCGCCTCCAGCTCCGTCTCGGCTTCCTCCTGAAATACAGAACAAAGCAAGGTTGTTTTCATGGGGTCCATGTCCAGCGAAGGTTTTGCAATAAATCAGCCATGGAACTTGGAGGTCTGTGGGGGTGAGTTTGAGAACGTTCAAAGCCAGCGCAAGCTGAACACGCTGCTTTTTGATTCGAAAGGAACAGGGGAACGGTCAGCAGAAGCTGTGCCAACTGAAAAGAAAAAACTAACACCAGTCCTGGAGCGCGTACAAGGCCTTGCCCCTCTTGCCATAGGCGCTCCTCAAAAACCGGCCCTTGGCGCAGCTGATGCAGCCCAATCCTGAGGCGACCAAAGGCGGCTTCATGAGCCTTGGGTCGATTGAAACCAGGGGTTGGAAACATAGACCAAAACCTGCGGTTTGCCCTTCCTGGTGAAAATTTTGAGCCACACCCATCTCCGAATTGACTTGCCGGGGCGAGAGGCGACCTGGTGAGAAATCAGGCAGGGAATGAGAATTGGAATGACCCTTATAAACCATCCCCCCTGGTGGTCAACTTGCAGGGCCTGGGTTCATTCCCGCATTCCCTACTGAGCAGCAAGTTGATGAAGCATTCGCGCTCTGCCAAGTCGGGGTTCTGTTGGTGTTAGGCTGGCTCCTTGCAAACGGCTGTTGGCACTTGCACAGTGAACCACTTTTCCAAGAACACACACACACACAGGTTCAAAACAAACAAAACCACATTGCATGTCAATGCTGCCGCACCAAGCAGGTCATCTTAACTGTGCATATCAAAAGCTAATTCCGCGACTCTGTCTATCCGCGAAACAGTCCGCATTGACCAGACCACACACCCACCCACCCGCCCGCCCACCCGCCCGCCCACCCACCCACCCACCCACGCACGCACTCACGCACCCACGCACCCCGCACCCCCGCACCCCCGCACCCCCGCACCCCTGCACCCCCGCACCCCCGCACCCACGCACCCACGCACCCACGCACCCACGCACCCACGCACCCACGCACCCACGCACCCACGCACCCACGCACCCACGCACCCACGCACCCACGCACCCACGCACCCACGCACCCACGCACCCACGCACCCACGCACCCACGCACCCACCACACCACTCACCCACCCACCCACCACCCACCCACCCACCCCCAACCCAACCCAACCCAACCCAGCCCAGCCCAGCCCAGCCCAGCCCAGCCCCACCCAACCCAACCCAACCCAACCCAACCCAACCCAACCCAACCCAACCCAACCCAACCCTACCCTACCCACCCACCGCCCGCCCGCCTGCCCGCCTGCCCGCCTGCCCGCCCGCCCGCCCGCACCCCGCCACCCAATCCGGCACGCACACACACGCATTTGTCAGAATTGGAGAGCCTTGTGAAGAGACCTCTTCCAGACCTTGAAATGGATCTTGTGCTGGACCTTGAGTACAATTGCCCTCTACATGATAACCTCTCAAGAAAATCTGCGCACGACTTTTGGGCACCTTGTGCCGGACGGATGTAGATCGTGGGCAGGGGCTTATGGCACACTTCTACCCATTTCTTGCAACACACGTCTCGGAGCATTCCGTGTTGTCTGCGGAAACCAAAAACAACCCCTGACGGTGTCCAACTTTGAATCCGTCCGAAGCGCCAGTGGTTCCATCGCCTCCACCTGACTTGCCGCACCAGCAGCTGCCGGTGCCCCCACAGTTCAGCCACATGGACTGCGCCGAAGCCACGTTGTGGTAGGGCGTGCCGCCTAAACTGAAAGCGGTGTGGTGGTTTATCTCTGGCCCTGCGCCTTCTGTAAAAGTCAAGGGAGACATGTCAACCTATGTTCAATGTTGCACCAACGTGACAAGTACCAGCCCGGTATATCTGGAGCATACATAGCCTTATACAATCATTAGCTTAAGGTTAGATGCTCATGTAGCATTGTTTGATACTAAATTGGTACTAGTTCAGTATTGCTTTCTAGTATCCTGTTAGCTTGACACTGCTCAGCGCTAGCGTGTTTTGGAGGATGCTCCCTGTGACAGTGGCACTTGCTCTATGTAGGCCTCTATATAAACA